TTAAAATACTTAACACAAAAGCAAATTCCTGCCTTGTGGTGTGTTATCAGCAGCTGACAGGATTAGCCTGCTGCTTCCACCTCATGGTGGGTTTGGGCTCAAACCAGCACACAGCTGGCCCGTGGAGCCAACAGAGAATGAACCGGAAGCCTGTGGACCCCACCAACAAAGCTCCCATTCAGCAGCTCCTCAGGTGGCCAGCTCCCAAGACAGAAAGACCATAACCAAAGACTGTGATCCCAGCTCCTCAACACACACACACACACACACACACACACACACACACACATTCTCTATCTTACATATTCTCACACACGCATTCTGTCTCTCTCATACACACACTTATTCTCTCACACACACATTCTCTCTCATACACACGCTCTCTGTCTCACACACACACCTATTCTGTCTCTCTCGCAAACAAATTATCATACACATTTCTCTCTCACACAGCCATTCTCTCTCATACACACACACTCTGTCTCACACGCACACATTCTGTCGGTCTCTTTCTCGCACATATACACATACTCTCTCACACACACATTCTGTCTCTCATACACACTCATTCCAGGCTCAGCAGGAACCCTGTGGCCCAAAGCTAAGCCACTGCCAGACCTCCTACCTCCAGTGATCTCCCCAAAGGACCCAAATCACAAGCAGGACCCTAATTCCTGCAGAGTGGTGACCCCAGGCCTAGTGCCTCACAGAAACTTTGAGAGCTGCCTCCTGCCATCCCCTCACTCGCTCACCCTGTTTTCCTGACAAGTGCCCACTTTATAAGGCTTTGTTCCCGCCTACCCGAGGACTTTGTAGAAAAGCCAGATCACTCCCTTCTGTTAAAAAGAGGTTTTAATTCTTGGGTAGGGGTAGAGCTACCAGATTTAGCAAACAAACAAAAAACAGGGCACCCAGTTAACTTAAATTTCATATAAACAGCAAATAATTGTTTTGTATAGGTATGTCCCATGCAATATTTGGAGCATACACACACAAAACAATTATTTGTTGTTTTTCTGAAATCCAACTTCAGTGAGGGTTGTGTATTTTAACTGGTAACCCTGTATGGTTGGGGTGGGGTAGAGTAGAGGCATCTGGTAGAACAAATCATCTTGAAAGAAAACACAAAAAAGAGTTGTGAGGATTTAGGGAGGAAAGTGAGCAAGTGCCCTTTACTGAGCATCTCTTTCCCACCGGAAGCTTTCATGCACGTTGCTCATTCGAGTTTTCCAGTAATTCTGTGCTTCAGATATACTTATCCCCACTTACAGATTAAAAAACAAGACAAAACAAAACAGAAGGTCAGAGAATCAAGTGACTTGGAAAACATCATACGGGTAATTCATGAAAGGCCGGACTACAATCCATAGCTTCTGAGTACAACTCAAATGCAATTTCTACTGCATCAAGCTGCTCTGCCTGCTGATACATATCTATAATGTTATAGGGCTGTACATAAAGAGGGCCCAACCATTTTCTTTGCTTTTCCAATACATTCATGAGGAAGCAAATTCAAAATGGTATCCTGGACTAACACATATGTGTAAAATAAAGTAGTCTATTTACAGAGACCATTCTGCTTACAGAGAAAGCACTAGATCCTTCTCGCCTTTTGGTCATGTACCCCAACTAAACACATCATCTATGAGGACCTACCTGTCCAGTGGTCTAGTTCCTTGACAAAGAGGCAGAGAAAGGGTCAAGACAGGACCGTTCCACCCAAAATGACCATGGCTCCCCAATTTTCAGATGAGAAAGGTCACAGGACATTTGACTCAACAGAATCCTAACAGGGAGCCTAGAGAAAAAGGTACCTCTATCACTACCCTAGCATCCTACAATCCATCATTTCCCAGAAAGCACAGTGGGTTGAGTGTTCATTTGGGGTGGGGGGTGGAATTATGGCGGGGAGAATTGTAAAAAACAAACAAACAAAAAACCCAAAAAAGACTATTTGTCAAATGAATAGTGAGAAATACTTTTCCCTCCACCCTTCTCCAAGCTCCTAATGTTCTTCGTGGCACACAATAGAGGGGAAACAACCATAAAAATGACTTAATATGTGCCCTTTTGAAGTACAGTAACTGTCAGGCAAGGGACTATAAAAATAACACAGTTGAGGAGATTCAAATTTATTTCTGCTTAGTGCATTTCCAGATCAAAATGCGCTCGGTTAATCAGTCAAGTTTTGCTTTTGTGCTGTTGTTTTGTTTCTAAATTTTCCTTTTCATAGATGCTAACAGATTTTGCTTATGATAAAAACCTTGCCCACCTCACACTCCACCACTTAGGGAGTGAGACCATGCGGTTGTGGGAACTCCCACTGGTTCCTTGTTCCTGGCGGAGGGCGCAGGAAGTGACTGCACAGGAGTGGACAGACGCTGGCCTGGGGATACCCCACCAGTGGGGATGGCCAGGTTCAAGGCGCTGGGGCTGGGGCTGCCTGCTCAAGAGAAGGGCCCGGCTCTGGCCATCCTTGTGTGGACGCTGCTTGCTCACTACCCTTCCACTCCCCCACTTCTTCTCCTACCCCGTCCCCACAAACACACCCAGGCGCAGACTCCAAAGGCACAGACGACCAACAGTTTTTCTTTCGGGCCACTGGAGTCTCCAGTTTTCCAGCGGAAGACAGCAAAAAACCCCACACTCCATTCCCCCTCTGACCCAGCCAGCACCAAACCATTCCCAGCCCCAGCACGAGGCTGCAAATATTCAGAGGCAATTACCCAGAGCCAGTAGGGCACACATTAGTGCAGGGCCGTCATTTGCAGACTTAATTATTAGAGGCTTTATAAACATTTCAGCTGGGGGTGGGGTGGGGGGATTGGGAGCGGAAAGGGGGAGCACATAACGGGGTTTTCGTTTCTGATGGTGAGTGTGCCAGCCCTACAAACAGGCCAGGCTGGGACTCTGCCGGTAGCCACAGAGGCCTCATTTTTCTCATTGTACATAAAGATCATTACAGACTCTGAAGGTGAGAAAAATTCAATTTCACCTTGGATCTAAAATCTTTCAGAGATTTCTTTTGAGAAGTCTAGATAATTAAACTGATTTACGTTTCACTGTTAATAAAATCCTAGATGTACAAAAACATAAATTCTGGTGGATACTATTTAAATGGGATCACGTTTCCATTTCTATTACATAAGAAGACTCCAGAGCAGGGCTTGAAGGCACCACTGCTCCGACTGCATTTAATCACAAGCCTGCGAGCATCCTGGGGACCCTGGCCCTTAGGGATCAGTGAGGGGCCCCCGCTGCAGACCAGCGGCCTCAGGACAGAGGAAAGACGATGAGGAGCCGGTGAGGGTCAGGAACCTGGGATCACAGTGCCGGGGGAGGGGGAGGGAGGTCCTGCAGCACAGCGGCTCCCATTCTCAGATGGAGGAACCCAGGCCCCAAGCATAGGGACTAGCATGTAGGACTTTGGACTCTCAGTCCAGTGCTCCTTCCATTGCCTCTAGGTGTTAAATCGAGATCCACCTTGTATAAAGGTGAGGGAATGAGGTGAGGAGGCTGCTCTGAGTTGAAGTGGCAAGTGTTGACCCAAACCCTCGGCTCCTGTTTCCCCTGCAGAGTGCGAGACTCTGCTGTGTGACTGGGAGACAGGCTGGGAGAGGATGACGTCAGGGCAAACAGCCCACAAGGCCCAGGAGTTATCAGCCCATTCAGAAGCCTCGCAGGAATTTCCTGTTATGTGATCTGCGTCTTGCAAATAGTCACAAGCAAGCAAGCTGTCACTCTTCCCCGCTCTTTTAGGGGAAACGCGGGCTCTTGGGTCACTAGCAGCCTGTGCCCCGCAGCTTTCCAAAGAGGACCTGGCTCTGAGGATGTCCACAGGGAGCTGGCGGGGGGGTCTGCTGGGACAACAAAGAGCGGGCCAGCCCCAGGGATGGTGAAATCCCAGCTCTAGGCAGCTCGGTTCTGGGTGAGCTCTGGTACTACCCGGAGGAGGATCAGTCAGCAACATGGAACCCCCTGGACCCAGAACCATGGCTCTAGTTTTTAACAAACACTCTAGGTGCCTCTGCTCTTCCTTTCCTTTGTTTCCACCATAAGACATACAGTACACACATGAGAGTGCACACAAGTGTGTGCACGGCCCCCCAGGGAGAGGGCTAACAACACACTGAGGTACTCCGGGGGCACTCTGCACCCAGGTCATCCTCCCCGCCAGGCCCCCACCCCTCCAGAGGGAACACCAGGCCGGCTTGGGGGATCATCTTTGCCTTGGTTTTCCTTATAATTTTTGCCACATGGTGTGCATCCCTCCAGATTACAGTTAACTTTGCCCAGCAGTGCATGTGGCTACTACCACTTGCGCATTTTTGGTTTTGTATAGTACTCAGTTGGATGAATACATTTTATTTGTCCCTTCTGCTATCTATGGACATTTAAGTCATTCTCAGTTTCTGGCTACTGCATACAATGCTGCAGGGAACATTCTTGAACATGTGTCCTGGTTCTCAGGACGCACACTTGACAATGAAGTGCATGGCATCACGCAGAATGTGTTCTTCACGGCGATGAGGTTACCCCAACCAGTGCCCCAAAGCTGTGCTGCCTTCCCCTCCTTACGAGACACTGATAAACCCGTTCTGCTTAGACAGAGGAGGGGGTCACTGGTGACTCAGAGGCCAAGAAAGCCTAGTTCATCGTCAGACAAGGCAATTCAAGCCATATCCTGATACCTCCTCTGTAAGGCAAAGCCCAAGATTTTAAAATTCTGAGCTTAACCAGAACCAACCAACCAAAACAGCTCAGCTTTCTACGAGAAAAATGTTACAAACTCCCCCAAAACAATGAGGCAGCATCTACAGCTTTGGGGCAGACCCACCTGCCCACACTATTAATTATATGCAATAAGCACAAATGTGTCTCTAAGAGATTTAAGTGCAGATTAAGAGATTTAAGAGTGTCTAGCGATAAAGCAGGACAGGGGAAAGAGAGGAGGGACAGAGGGGGTCCTGGACGCCACACCCCCTACGGCTGCCCCATACCGGTACACTGGCTGCATCTCTCTCGCTATGCCAATGATGGCGTCCGGCAGGAAACTGTCAAACTCCTCAAACAATTCCCGGATGTTGGTCATGTACTTCAGGTCTAGGTCCAGCTGAATTATCCGCAGGATCTCTGGAGGAAAAAGAAAGAAAACAATAAGACACAGACACATCCTGGGAGGCTCAGCCACGGACAGAAAATGAGTGGAGGGTGCAGAAATAGGTATCAGGTCATTCTTGCAGTCACCAAATGATGCAAAGTTATCGCTGGAAACAAAGGCCCTTCATCCACCAGCAACCCACTCTGCACCAAAGTCTTCATAAACAACTGCCCCCCCCCGCCCTTCCACTCGCAGGCATGCATTTTTGTTTAGAACGAGGTGACCGTATGCTCTACTTCAGGCCCACTGTCCTGGCGTAATTTTCAACAGCACACCACTTCATTCTCAAAAGGAACCAGTTTGGACGTCATGTTATGTGGACACCCTACTGAAAATCAAAGCATACAGGTGTTCTCCGTGGGGCACAGGTGGTAAATGAGCCACAGGAGAGAGGGCTGGAACCTCGCCCTTATTAGTACATTCTCAAACCTCGATGTGTGGTCGAGTTCGGATGCCGACAAAACAGCTGAAAGACCTTGGACACTGTGAGGTTTTTATTCCACTGTCTGAGAGACAAAATGAGCTATAATTAGACAAACCGAGTCTCACAATTACCTGGCACATAAGTGCTGGTTGCTTCCGTTGCCTCCAGATGACTCAGGGCGAGGAGGGAGGAG